GTTTATCAAGATAATTTTTCTATTGCTTGCTACTGTATTGAAATATACAGTACTCCAAAGAACCAAGGTTAAATAAGTATGTGTGCAATAAGTTTGCTTAAAAATGTGTCAGTATGAGAGAGAAGAGCTAAAAAGCCAAAAGCTGTTATTTAGGATAGCACCAGCATTTTGATAAATACCATGGATATACAGGTTTTAACTTCCTCATTTAACTAAAAAAGTTCAAAATATTAATGACAATAACTTCTATATTATTCCATTTGCATTTTTCTTTTTTCTTTTTCCAGTGATCATCTTATTTTCAGAAATATTTTAACTGAATTTTTTTTTAAATAAGTGATGTTTGATTAATTCACAATATGAAACATGAATTCTTTCTATGAAGAAAGAATCTGCATAAATTCTAATAACCTATATTTCTAAAGTTATCAGAACAGTAGAAAGAAAAAAGTTTTTATACTTAATAATATTTAACTGAGATTAACACAATTCCCAAAATATGTTTATCAAGTGTAATTATACACTTAACACTGAACTGGTATCACCTTAAATTGTAGAAAAATTAATTGTGCAGGAGCAAATAAATGTATTTCTTTACATCAGGTCAGCCCACTATTTGATACAGAATATGCAATATCAAATTTTATAAATATTCATTCAAGTGAAAGGTAAGCCATTTCCAGAAAGACAAGAAAATTGTAAAACACATAGAAAGATAATAATTAGGGAAAATTTACACAAAATATTGCTGTATATTAGTCATTTTTATAACATTTTTGTTGCTATATATATGTGTTAGATGCTACATGTGAGGAATAGAAATATATTGCTATGCTGAAAGCAGAAAGCAAGGGGCCTCAAATGTATCTGTATTTCTTTTTTCCTGATTGGGCTTATTTACAAGCATTGTTCTTTTGATGTTCTATCACTCCCAAACCAATGATGTAACTCCACTGTCTACAGCCAGTGAAGCTCTAGAAGTGAGAGACTCTTGTCACCACTATATTTTGCCACTGTGTAAAAGTTTCAGTTTATTGTCTTTAAGTAGCATATTTATTGCAGTTACGCTGAGAGAATCTTCAGAGAGTTTCAGTACTGGTCATGATATAGACTGTGAATAAAATATGTACTTCAACCAGAGATTGTTCTGTTTTTTTTGACAAATAATAGAGCAATCTTTCGTGATGCAATCTATATAGACAGGGCAAATGTGGAAAGTAAAAAGAAAAGACAGATGAAATATTTTGACTCTTCTTAATGAGGGAACAGAAAATTTAGAAGACTGAAGTTATTACCAAGGAATTTTCACCAGACTTGAGATGAAATAATGCTTTATGTTTGGCTTTTTAATTGCCTACAAATAAAATAAACATGATGTTTATATTTAAATAAAAAAAACTAGGATGATAGGAGAAAAGAAAATGAAGGGGAGTGGATACTGTTGAAAGGGAATCAGACTCCAAGACAGTCTGATATTCTCACCTTATTCAAGCAAAATATATGCTAACGTAGTTATATACAGAGTAGTATATCTACATGTGAGAACACAGGCCCTATTGACTTCATGGGAGATTTTTAAGGAGCAGAGCTGAGAGTACAATGCTACAGTCAGAAAAGCTGTTGCAATCTCTCGCCCACTTAGAGGCAGAGTGAGCAGGAAAGGAATGTCACTGCTGTGTACAGCCCTGGCCAGGGAATGGTTGGAGTTCTGAATACAGATATCTACTCTTAATATGGAAGCTGAACAACTGGGAAAGGTAAAAGGACAAAGTATAGCATGCACATGGACAAAATGCTTTACGCTTAAAAACTTAATGCTTGCCACACAATTGATAGTTCTTCAGCCTAGTTTACTCTGACTCTGTAATGTGGTATCAATTATGTTGTCATGTGGGAAGGCTGAAGCAGAAACACAACATACACTGAGTTTCAGAATTCTAATTTACTTAACCTAATTATGTTGTCATTCATAATGTTTTATGTATGACTGCTGTTTCTTCAGCAGAGAAATGTGATGAGGAGTGAATAAAAAGTAGGCTTTCTCCTTGGCTAGATAGGAGGAGTACATGTTGGCATTTAAGTAATAGCATCAATCACCTGAGGTCCTTAGCCATGAGTCCTCAGACTGAAATAGATCTCTGCTATTTTTTTTCCATACCTGAACTTGTTGTAACTGTTATATCTTCTTGCTACCTAATTTGTTTTAACCACATAAGGAGTTCGCATCACAAACAGAACACATCAGTTCATGCTTTTGACAGGCCTGAGCACATGTATTATGTAGGTGTTGTTGTTTTCATTATTAATATTACTGTCATCCAGTATGGCATGATGTGAGACATATCTCCTTCATATTTTTAAAGAAATAATAAGCGAGTTACACTGACACGTTCTTAATTAACATTTCCTTTCAGTGTAACATTTTTGTAGATATTTAAACCAAAGAGAAAATTACATTGTGAAAAGATTTGTTCAGTGACATTATAACATTTCTTGCCTCAAAAAGATCATATTTTCATTGAATATCACAGAGTTATTTGACAAATTAGCAATCAGAAATCAAACTGAAGCAGGACTGATTCACTAGTAGCTTGCAGTAACTAAAGATTTTCATACCTTTGAGAGCACAGACCATCAATATGTCAAGAGTGGCAGCTGTGTGGCAGCACTGTGATGTGTTGGCCTAGCAAAGATTCAGTGCTTTGAGGTAAATTACACATTAACTTTGCATGGTGATGTAGGCTGTACAGAGATATATCAAACAGGCAGAGGTAAAGCTAAATATCTGGTTTTGTTGATATTGTTGTGTAACTGATAGCTGATCAAACTCACAACCAAGTATACATGGCCCTTCTCTCTATACCTCCATATTACTCTATTTAATGGCATCCAAATGGAAATAGTGCAATGCATGGAAAAGTCTAGAATCAGCACAGCTCTGGACTAATCATTTTACTGAAGATACTAGGAAAGATGTCACACTACACCTAGATGATATACTTCCTTTATTTCTGTCTGTGGCACATAGAAAGGGATGAGATAAGAGAACATGAAAGAAGTATTGCTTTCTATGCTGAAAGCAATACTGTCTGGAGAGAAAAACAGATGGATCATGGGAAGTACCATCAGGTTTGCAATCTCATGATAATTTACTTACCAGGAGGGTAATTCATAGTACTTCAAGATTTTTTTCCTTTTAGCTGAATTCTAGCATTCAAAGACTTAAAAAAAAAAATCAAGTAGAACAATATGTAATTTCTGTATTCTACATGAAAAAAATGTAAAATACAAATAATATTGACTACTTTTAAAACTTCCTTTCTGTCTCTAGTCTCGAAGTTTCTAAAAAAGCAATTCTTTATTTGACAACCTGAAATCAGCAGGAAAGAAGAGATTACAGATTTATACTGTTGAAGCATCACCTTCACCTAATGTGAAAGTGATGGGAATATGGAAAAGACTGTACGATTTCTGCTTCTGCACCCTGGATGCTATTTTTTTAATGCAGAAACTTTATAGTTGGAGAAAACTCTCTCTGATTTTATCTGTTAAACTGCCATGGATCTTCCATAAAAAATATTTTTATAGTTATGACCACATTCATGATTATCATGACATGAATATCTCTTCCTGTTCTACCCCAGGCTTCATATATAACCTATCTAAATCTCTTAAGCAGTTTAAACTCTAGTAAATCACAATAAAATAGGGTTGCTAGTTAGGGATACATGAATAATTAAATAAAAATATTTGGTCAGCTGGAAGTTAACAACCTGACTTCAAGTTTTCAAGGGTAATTATTATATAGCAGAAAGTTAACCAGGTTCTCTGGCAAGTTGTCATGTTATAACAAAGAAATTAAAATGTATGTTTGTTCCATGTTTTGTAGCAAATTTAACTTGGTACACTTTTTAGTTTCAGTTAGAACATTAAAAACTTAGTACAAAGCACTATAAAAGTACAAGGTTGTGGGCTGTCCACAGAACAAATGGGAATGCAAATGGGAATACTCTACTCAGTAGCTGAATATGGAAACACAGAAGTAGAGGACTCCTTTCAGTTCTGAAACTGATGATAATAACTCACTTCTGACTTGTAGTTTAGTAGAAAATTATTAATATTCTCAAACTTCCTCCAAAAAATCACTGCAATTTCTGCAGAGACGAGCATGACCACATTATCAGGTAATTTACATAATTTACGTTTACTTAAGATACTGAAGAATATCAAAATGAGAACAATATTTGTTCTGAAAGGAAAAAAAAAATTTCCTGGTAATGGGAACTGAAAACAATTTTAAAAAGGGAAAAACAAATCAGTAGATTATAAGCAATGGTAAGTTGTCTGTACAACTATTCGAGGATCTCAGTGGAATAATTGCTCAGCTTGCTACTTAATGTCAGCTTCCCATGAACTGTCTTGCCTAGAGGAAGTTAGATTGATGCTAATGAATATTTAAGAAGGAAAGTCATTGCCCCTGGGTATTGAAGGATTTTTTTACTAGACCTCCATTGACTATAGCAGGAGATTAAATGGCTACTTACCAAGTAGATACATATATTTATATACCTAAATGTATTTGCAATTTGCAAGTGAAGTGCATGAGTCCAAGGTTTCATTTCAATTGTATGACCATAACTCCTGTGCTAGTTGAGGTTATTAGAGGAATCTTATCCAACATTCAGCTGCTGACTGAAATGGGAGTCCATGCTCTGCAGCTATGGGTCTTGTGGTGTATCTTCCATACACAGCCTCACATAGAGACATAGAGGTCTCAAACATCCTCTGCATCTTAAATTAAACTAAATACGTATTGCTAAGCAACTAAGCTAAATCCTTTTTCTTTTTTTTCTTTTAATATCAAAAGTTAGGTAGCATGCAAACTAATTTTTGTCATGAATACTCAAGAAAAAAAGGAAAATGAGGAAACAAGAAAAATATTTCAAATGCTTAAGAAGATATATTTTTATCATGCCTTGTAAGGATATAATTAAGACTCTGATATTTTAGCTTGGTTGGTTAGAGCATGATGCTAATAATGACACAGTTTTGGGTTCAATCCCCACACAGGCTATTTATTTAAGAATGGGACCCTGTGAACCTTTTGGGTCCCTTCTAACTCAGAATGTTCTGATATCTCTTCTGTTGTCAGGCTTTCTGCATTGTTTTCTGAGGGGGAAAAAAGAACCTGACCAAAAAAAAAAAAAAAAAAAAAAAAAAAAAAAAAAAAAGAGTGCATTAGAATAATTTTTACTAATCAACTATTGAATTGGAATGGAAGGGTGAAAAATGTGTAACTTCAATAAGCACATAGAAAATATTATATGGGTCTTAATGATTTTCAGCTTGAGTGGAAAATATATTTCATTGTCAAACCTATAAAACATTTTCATCCATCTGCCTGTCGGAAGTACTGCAAGTTAGCAATTGTTCCATGAACTTACTGGTGATTTAATGCTCAATGTTTTTGTCCCCATTCCCTGAATTTTTCAAATATAGAAGAAAATCACTGGGGAGAATTTGGAACATTTTTAAAACATGTATTGCCAAAAGAATAAACTAATGTTTATATTGATTAAACGTTCCTAAGCACAGAAACACCGATTTAAACTAATACCATATTCTTCCACATTTTTTCAACAAAATTTTCTTTTCTATGATGTGAAAATTTGCCACTGACTTCTATGTGCATTTTCCAGTTATGAAATGTAGGACACTAAGAAACGAGGAAATAACACTGTGCTGAGATAAAGTTAGTGTTTTCCATAGTAGCTTATATGTGACTGTGCTTTAGATTAGTGATGGAAACAATGTTGTTAAAACAAAGATGCTTTAGTTACTCCTGAGCGATGCTCACAAAGAGAAAAGGCCTTTTCTGCTTCCCTCTGATCATCTCTGCAGGGTCCCTTTGGACTACCTCTAGCTTGTTCTTATCTCTTTTGAATTGTGTTGACAGTAAGAGGACTCAGCAATCCAGGTGCAGCCTGACAATTGCTGAGTAGATTTGGGTGATAATTTCTCTCTTGGTAATGCCATTGTGGATGCAGCCCTGGATCCAATTCGAGACAAAACATGCTTCCATGCTTATGCCTGGTCCTTCATACTACCATGCTCCAGACAAGCTCAAAGCACTGCCTGATGAGCCTTTCTGACCCTCTGGAGACCTTCAGTTGTTGGTTAGTTTTGTATAGCCAGCAGACAGCTCGAGCAACCATAGAGGCTGCAGCCTAAGAGCACAGGTGAGCAAAGCAAGCAGCAGCCTGGCAGAGTGGGCAGTGCTTCCTGTGTGTCCTGATGACACTCCCTGTTGGTTTTGGTTTTTTATTTAATAGCATACTTCCTTCCCTAATCAATGCTGCACACTTTTATTGTCAAAGATTTCAGCAGGATAATATCATTCTAATCGTTATAGATATCTTAATTTGAAGTTTCCTCTACTTACATAATTAATTACATGTAGATGTCTTTTAACATGAAAGGTGGGAGTATGGGAGAGAAGTGGGAGCCCACCTGCCTTAATTATATTTATAATCATTATTATTCATGGAAGAGCTACACTGTATCCTGAAAGCTCTTCTGCTCCTTACTTATTTGTTAAAAATTTTCCTGACATCAGGCTGACATGCACACACATGCAAATAAAAATACTTGCAAGGTGTATATGAAGTCATGTTTTAACTCTTATTGGTAAAAGCAATTTGGGGTAAAACCAAAACAAAAAGAGAGAAAGAAAGAAAGAGAGAGAGAGAGAGTCAGAGACAAGGAAAGGGAAAGGGAAAAGGAAAGGGAAAAGGAAAGTGAAAGATCTCCCCAGTAAACAGCAAGGAATTGGAGTGGCAGGGGTCTCCCATATGAGTGTAGTCCTCTGGAGGTCCTCCCTAGTGGAGCAGGTGGTTGCTTCACAATACTTTTCTGATAGAATTTATGTAGTTTCTGCAGGAACCTACTCAAAATCCCTGTAGGTTTTTCCTCATTATGATGCTATTAGTGCCGACTGGAGAATGCTTTGATCAGATACAGAAATTGCACTCTCATTTGAGGCTAAGTTCTGTGCATATATATTAAGGGTATGCTTATCACATATTTAGCTGACAATTATCTAATCTGTCACCCATCAAGTCTTGATTTTCCTCTTGGACAAGCTAAAACCTATTAAAAAAAACAAACAACAAAGCAAAACAAAACAAAATGAAAAAAAACCCTAAACATCCCCCCACTAAAATATATATATATATATATATATATATATATATATATAAAAAAATATATATATATATATATATATATATATATACAAAAAAAAAAATAGAAGAATTAGGTCTATGATAAAAATCCTCATCCCAGCAAGAGTCATTTTCCACAATAATAACAATAACTTATCTTTTGGAAGTGTAAGTACAGAAAAATAACAGCAAAAGAATAACTGTATGGCAGTAATACCAAAGGGGGAAAAGAAAATACTGATACAACAACTTAATTGAAACCTTATACAGTTTCAAATGAAAGGGAGATTACGGGGTGAGAGTGAAGGCCTCCAAGTACCCAAGTGAAGCCCCTTAGTATTGCAAAGCTTTAAGAGTTTAAAGCATAGTGTAACACAAGAAATGGAAAGAATATTCCAATTACAGGATTTAATCCCTTCTTTCAATTGTAAGAGTAAATCAATGGAAATACAGGACACCCTGGATAAATCTTGGAATTACCAAAGAATTCACAGTCATATCAAGAATCCAGTTATCTGAATATTTTGAAACGGAGAATGGTTTGTTGGATTTTTTTGGTGGTAATTGAGAAAAAACAGGAAACAAGGAAGAAAAACTGTTTCTGTCATTGAAGAAAAACTGTTTCTGTCATTGAAATTCTCTTCTCTGAACATCATTTGCAAGCATGAGCTCAAAGCAGAGTTAGCATTGACACTATTTCTGCTCCTGGATCATTCTATAGCTTTGTTTCCATCTTTGCTTAAACAAAATATCCTTTGAATACTGATTTCTTACTGTGACTCATGCACATTCTATTTAAATTTTAATTCTACAAGCACTTACATTTCAGGGAAATTCAGAACTATAAAGAGAGTTAATACAGGACAGGATAGGAAAGAAGGTAAGAGATTGAAGACCACAAGACGCTGAGATTTTCTAGAAGGATATAAATTCCATTTTTTCCTTTAAATACTGATTTTGATTTTACTTAGCTAAAGCTGCAACTGTGTTTAAGAATTTTTAGCCTGTTACAAGGTAGATGGCTAAGTATATAAGACAGTAAAACTATGTAAGTCAGGAATTAAAATAGAAAAGAAAAAATAAAAATGGAGAGTATCTAGTTTCAGAGTATGCAACAGCAAATGTAAATTCAATATAGCTCTGGATGAAAAAAATGGATTTTTTTTGTTTGCTTGTTTGGTTGTTTAATTTGTTTTGGGAGATGGGATTTCTCCTGGAAAAGGCAGCAGCTAGGTGCTGGATTTGTCATTTAATTAATTGTTCTTTAGCTCATAGAAAAATCCCGTATGCAATACAGATCCTTCTTTTTGTACATTAGAAATTGAAGTAAAATAATTTCTTCTTATTAGAAGCTCCTCTTGGTTTCTTACAACAGGATCTAGTCTCACAGCTACAGTAAAACTATGGTAACAGACCTTGTATTAGAAAGAATGTGTGATATATGCTTCAGATCTATTGTAAAACAGCTGCTCTTAAGGAAAGATAAAGATAAAACATGATAAAAAATGATAGTTAAACTACAAAAATATTAACTGCCTTGCTTTTCTTAAAGAAACTTTAATCCACATTCAGCTACTGAGCCAAATCATCATGTTTTAAAAATACATTATGATGCAGTAGGTGGAAAACATTTCATATCAAAAGCTTAATACATCAAGCTGCAAGGCTGGTTTCAGATGAATTACACCTGAAATATTTTAGTCAGCTGCTAGGATTTAAAAGCAACATTTTAATATAGTGATATATGACCCACTCTAACCACTGCCTTCCACAGTACATTAAAAAGCTGAATAGAAACATTAAATAGCTTTTAAATTTTATTTTATTTTCTCTCTTTTCTTTTTTTTAAACATGCTACCTAGTGCTTTTACTATTCTGTCTTTAAATTCATTAACAAAGTTGTAAAGCACACTAAGTTTGTCGTTCTCATAAAAACTGTGTTTTTACCATAAAAGCTTGTCTATTTTAGACAAAGTTATAAATTCTTCTCTCTGCAGATACATAATAAATACCCTCACTTGTCATTGAATGAGAGTCTGTGTGTCAACAAGATCAAGTCATAAAATCCCTTAGAGTTAGATGTTGCTAAATAGTAGGTGAAATAAAATCATGCCCTGTGCTGCACCTTGCAGTTTTCCAGAGCTGTTTGCAGGAAACTTTTGAGGACTGTTTTGAAGGAACTGAGATATGAACAGAAGGCAAGTGGACAGAGACAGAGAGCACAGGCATTTTCACTCAGGGCAACAGTGTAAGCATTCTTGAGAATAGGGAGGTACTAAAAGGACTGGAGCAGCAGTGACAAGGACTCTGCAGGTAAGGAGAATCCCAACATTTACACTGGGAGATTATGAAAACATAGAAAAGCTTAGGAGGACTGATATGAAGGAAATGATAAATGGTAAAAAGCAGTCCCTGTACAGCACTTTGTAGTTAGCAGGACCAAGGGCTTCCCAGTGGTGAAAGGGTAACTGTTGAACTCAGGGCTGAGATTAATAAAGTGGAAGTGACGATCAGATGTGAGGATGGAAAGAACAGAGAATTTTGAGGAGATGAGGAAGAGATATGGGTTAATAAAAGACCAGGAAAACATAATAAGTACGTCAGAGCATCTGAGAAGTTAAAAGAACAAGGAAGTGGTGAGGATTGATTCTCTATTCAATGCTAGTGATTCTAAATACACTTTTTGGCTTAGGAAAGAAATTATTTGTATACTGTAATTTCTCTCTTGATGTGGTTTCATTTGCTTGCACTTAGCTTATAAACATCTATTGATACTTGGGACATGCTGGACGATCTGAGATATCCAGCATGTCTCAAGTGGTGGCACAAAAAAACAGGTGCACACAAACCT